TTTTAAAGTACAGTGGTCAAGGGAACAGATGATAGAAGTAAAAAAATCAATCTGGTTGGATATTAAGAAACGTTCGACAAAAAAGCACTGGACTTTAATTGTATCCACGTTTGGTACTCGTTTAAGATGGATGTATCTAATGACGAAAACTGATATGGTAAATATTGTTTATTTGAATACACAGATCAATTGGCACTGGGTACTCCATCAAAACAAGATTCCCAAGAAGTGATTATATAAGACAAATGACATAATCAAGAAAACTATTGGCCACATCTTGAACAATCATTGAATAAATCTACCTGACGTACTGGGTGGTAGTGATCTCTGTGTTTGAAAAAAAAACTTGTCTTTTGGAGGTTGTGTTCAAAAAAAATTTATGATAAATAAAAGAAAATGATTCAGGGTTTCTTGCTAACAGCCGCCAATTACTGTACACTATGATGTCGAGTCATACATTCTTGCAACTATATCGTGAAAAATATGGTTATAATTCGGTCGCTGTTGAAAATACTACAACTATTGGCATAGTGATAAATAAGTTGACTGATGTTTTTTCTAATTACTATATAGTGACACATTCCACCAATAGATAAGTATTATAAATTAGGGTACGTTAAATATTTATTTTTATAGCTTTCATTTTGTCATATGGTTGATAGCAAACGGAAATGAAACCCTGAAACTGGGTTTTGTGTTGACTATCATCATCAATCATCCGAAATATGTACCGGAAATCTTGAATGAAATAATGCATATCAGTGTAATTCAATCATAACTAACGAGCTAGACAAGTATGAAACTAGCTGCTACAGCTCAGCGAATCAAATTAAGTTGGTTTTTGAAGTTCTAAGTAAACCATACCAATTACTATATTCATGAGAATCAGAAATAGTAAGGTAAAGACATTATACTATTAGGATGGAATATAAACACATATAGTTTTTCAGGGTAATAAGCTCAAGCTGCGGGTGATCTTTCGGAGAAAAAACTGGAACAAATAGTTCACATTGAAGTGAATATTCAGACAGTCATATCATTTGAAAGCTGTGCTTTTGTGTCATATTTATTTACTAAAACAGCAGTTGATAGCGAAATAATTGGATCATTTTCAAAATTAAAAAAACTGAATGGATTGTTTGTTAATAACCAAAATACACCATGTGATGTACCTTTAAAGAAATACGAAGCAAAAATCCTACTACTACTACTACTATCAAAATGATAAATAGACGAAATAAAGATAAACGTCTGAGTTATACAGAAGCAGCTTAGATTTCATATTCCAGTGCTAATTAATGCATTCGAATGGATAATGGTATTGCTGCAGCGATTAGATTACTAGCTGTTCTTCCCTCTGCCTTACTTGTGCTTAAAACAGTTCCATGCATAAGGTTAGACTAAAGATTAGATATACAATTCAATATCTAACATTCTAAATTTTAGACAGTAGTCAATTTTTAAGATCGTGTGAACATAAACGAAATGTGCTCTATTCCAGATACACTTGAAATCTACCAGTTATTGTAATCTAACATATCGATTTGATGAAAGAATGAATTTGAATGCATAACAAATACTAATTGAATTTAAAGCAAGCAGAATAATTCAGTTGTGTTAATAAAATTCAATACAATTCAACCAAAAATTAATTTCGTATAAAAAATTATTTAGTACAATTTAATTTATGGATTGGGATGGCGGAATACATTGAAGTACTAAGTTCAATATTGTTAAGAGATAAGTACCAATAAATTTTATACAGTATAAACGAAGCAATCACTTTCCACAGATTATGTTAGGGGGAAAACACATAATCACAAACTCCAAAGCAATCAGTCGGATAAGACTGTCAATTCAAATTGATCGAGTGAGTAGATTAGTATATAAATACTGACAATAAAACTTTGACCACAAATAGAGGTGTGTTTTTTTTTGAGAAAAAACGACATAATTTCAAATATTGATTCGAACCACAAAGTTTGTTTTAAAAACCAATGAAACATTGGATTTAAAAATAATTCCTAAAGCTTAACTATTTGATTTTTTTTAAAAACGGAGACTTCGAATTCATCGTCATCAGTGTACAAAGTATAAAAGCAAAAATCCAGTAACAACAATGTCACACGAATAGAAATGAAAGGCATTGTACACCGAAAGTACACATAAAGAGAATGTCCACATAAAAACGATCTAAGAAGAAAAAATTAACATTGGACTGAAATAAAACGGTACGGACAACGTATGTTACATTGATACTGTTTCTAGAATATTTTACGATAGGTATAACTGAAGCAAAAACAAAATATGGGTAGAGAAAAATCCCATTTTTTTCAAAAATAGAAAAGTGATCTACTGATAACAAATGAATTGGTGAGCAAATATTTTTAAAATACAATGAATACAAGTACTGTATATATATATATATATATATATATATATATATATATATATATATATATATATATAATCTAGGGTTGGAGATCGCTTATAAAAGAAACGAGTAAAAATCACTCGAATTTGACTTAATATATCAAAACAATAAAGAAGTTATGTTTCGAGAATAAAGATCAGCATTTCCAAGAATGAACGCATGATCAAGAAACCTCCAGACGCACTACCCTTCTTCCCTAACTCGTCCCATAATCCAGCAGGGCTCAGAGTCAGCATCATGGAACGCGGATCAGCTGTTGAACAAGTTCTTTTTTTTAATGGGAGAAAAGGATATGTTGATATAATTATAATCTGTTGGATCTATCATACTGACAATTACGTTTTTTTCTGGTTAGCGTTTTTTCGGCAAGTTAGTTTTTAGTTGGGATGGGGGCGCCAACCCCATGTCCAACTCCTCCTCCTTTATCCGGGCTTGGGACCGGCAATAGCCCCGAAGGGACTACTATTATTATGACCTACCACAATCTCAATAATATTATAATCGTTGTAACGAGATGTCGCGTGAACCATACCTATTCTTATTGGTAATCGTAAACACTAAAATGTTTACTTATCTTTATTTAGAAAGCTTTCCTGAAGGTTTAAGTCACTAGACGTCTTATTTGTATGGAGTTATGTTTCCTTTGAACAATTGTTATATATTAGTTCTCTTGAGCATTCAGTTCTATTAGATTCAGTTCAAAATAAGATGAATCATCCAGTTGGTTGTGATTCGGGTTCATACCATATGTAGCCATTGCACAAACTTTGTTAAATTATCAATAAGTAAGCTATAAAATTCAACTCTCTAAACACTAGTAGAATTATACACGATTTGAGGATTATTCATTTTACATCTTATTATCCAATTAATTATTTTCAAACTAAGTAATCTCATTTCAAGTGAAATAGAAGTAAAATTACTGGAAATTGAAATACCACAGATTTCGTTGAATAGAAATTAATAATAATAATATTACATGACATTAAAATCAATGCACAGATGATTCGGGTGAAATAGCTCGTCTATCCGTAGTCAAGCATTATAGCACAATTAACTAATTGTTAGGATCGTCATTGGGTATGCTTGAAACTATTACGGGTTCACCCTAGTCGATAAACGAGAACGAGACAATGAACCAGTGTCCAGGTAGGCTACCCTGATCCGTTAAATAACGAGAAGGCTTGATTGAGCGTAGAAAGTATATTCTACAAACATCCAGCAAGCACATAAATCACGTTTATTTATACATTATAGAAACTTCCTTGGGACAGTCACAAAAATAGCACACTAAAATAACACAGTAACTAATCACAGACAAGGATTTTCCGGTAGGAAATGTGATCTCAAGGTCAACTGATTAGCCCATCCTCGGAAATATAAAATCCAAAATTAAGGCATTTATCTGGGGATCTAACGTCCTCAACACAACACAAATCCTCAAATATGACAGTAAAAAAGGTTACTAATTCATTGTTTGTTTAAACCCACATCGTATTATTCAATACTGTAATTTAAAAGTAAATCAGATATGTTGTCATTTCCATTTTATTTAGAAAAAAAACATTAGTCTAAATACAAGCGAAAGTTGGTTATGCATATATTGTGCACTGAAGATGTTTTAGTATTAATAATAGTCATAAATCAATTGGATAGAATTATGAAGATATTTTTTTATATGAACAATGAACAATGACCATTGACATCATTTTATTCTATATAAACCATATAATCCATTTATGTTAACTTGGTGATATTATTCAAATTACATTTACCAAGGTTACTAACCTACTATGTTATTGATTAGAGGTTTGAATTATGCAATAAAAGATGGTTAAAAATTGTTCGATGATAATCACCAGATGTAATATTAATCAGTAATTGTGGTGGTGTTTCATTCTCTGAACTGGATGTTTTGGTTGTGCACAAACTTCATACAGAAGAATTGAAGTATTCGAATGTTGTTCAGAAGAGGAACAATGAAAGCTTCCCAACTAGAACATCCGGCTCAGAGAACGAAACACCAGCACAATTATCCATCTGAGCTACAAATTTTCTCCACCATCTTGTTAATCAGCAACTAGACAGTTTAGGGCGATCTTATAATCCCAGAAACTAAAAATGCATATTATCGCCTTCTAAATCATGAACAATGGATTCTTATTTTTTTTCCCTGTTTCTATCCTTATTGCTATTGTTAATATTCATTCTCTATTATCTCTTTTTTTTTTACTTACCTCCCAGGTTATTTGTTGATTTTGCAGATAACCTAAATAGATAAACACATATCTATGTAAAAAAAGAAGCTTAGATTAGTCTATTCCCTTATAATATAAAGAATTTACATAAAACAGATTACAATAGTTATGATCTATATCATCAGAGAATTTGAAATGGACTTTGTTATGCTAGAGTGTTTTTTTCTCATCAAGGTTATTTCGAGCATGACAATATAAACAATGAAGAGAAAAAGTTTTTTTGAAATATATTTGTATGTAAATTTTATTAGAATTGTAATCATTATATTAAATGGATGATCATATAGAGAATTTTACAACTGACTTACTTAGTATTACTTTTATCTCTGGTTAGATAACGAGGTTCTGGATTATCGTCATTACTATTCACATCGTATGATGCAAATGGATCCTAAATTTAAATGAACAGAGAAAAAAATATGATACAAATAAATGGTATGGAAGTTATGCTAAGAAAATGTATCAACTAAACAGATGAACGAAGAGCTCATGGTATTGGATAGACAACGGTGAATTCAAGTAATGAAGAGTCAGATTGAAGTTGCTTAAGTCTTACAGTGGAAGAAATATCAATTTTTGTATTTTTAACCAAAACATGAATGAAACAATTTGAGTAGAGTATACACATTTGACGATGGCTTTCATCACCTACTGGTGATAATGAGAAGAAATCAATAATGTCAAAAATTAGTACTAATGAGGAGTCTCATGCAAAATGAAACACATGACCAGTTCACGTTCATTTTCTGCGAATTTGCAGACGACGTTTATCTACGAAGAGAAAGTTTGAAAACTAAGAGAAGTCTTTTGGGCTGCTCCAGTGAAAAATAATACAATGTCCATTCGTTAATGTTGGTTATCTAATAGAGAGAGTGAAAAATAAGTACAGATAGAATTCAGCCTACTGATTGAATCGTAGGATTTGTAGGTTCTCAGTTACACTCTCTGTCATGAAGTGTAAACGACTGAAGAGTTCTGCATTCTTAGAAAACACCTATAAAGATCTTTAGGAATTTTAACAGTTCTTCAATTACACGAGATAAGTAAATGGGTTATGACAGAAACATTATATTGTGCCAGTTTATATAGAGCTATACAAAAGTTGAGTCGTGGAGACATTTTCGGAAAACCAATCCCATACAGCACTAATTTACAGCAGGAGTATTATGACAGCTTTGCAACTATATTGTTGACCTTAAAAGATGCAACAATATTGAATAAATAAATTATCATACAATTTTTTTTTAAAGTGAATATCATGTATTTGATCAGGAGTTATGCTCTTATAATCAACTCAAAATGAATGTGTTTTTATGATTACCAATAATGAATGCGTTTTAGATATATTTTAAAAGTTTGTCTAATTGAAAAATAATCTCATTTGAAAAATGCAAAAATGAACAGGTCAATCGAACAAACAATATTCTCATGAATAATTATCTAACTATTTTTCATTTGGTAAAACAAATAATGCATATATAATGAAGTGTGCTTTATTTTATACAATTTCAAATAATATTTAATGAATTATGAAGAAGACCACATATAAACAGTTACCTAGATTGTCTTTTCTTTTTTTTTCCAGATGAAATGACCGTAACTAATTAAACTATGAAAATTTCAATTCACGTATTTTATTCACAAATTACTAAAGTTGGTTGAATTATCTGTTAGACTTAAAGACAGCTCATTTCAAAGTGTACACAATTGAACAATTTCCTTTCTTTTCTCTCACAGTTAAATTCTTTTATGCATGGGAAAAATTTCATTTCATTTATTAAAAAAAAATTAACTTCACTGTTAGACCATAAACGCTTTATTATAATAGGTCATCATTCTTTGTTGCCTTTAAAGTTATAATGTCAAATAAATTTACCACAACGTTCAATAAAAAATAATGATTTTCAAAATAAAATTAAAAAAAAGGCTATTAATGGATGCATGGAATTCATTTCTAAGGAAAGTTATATACATAAATATATGTATATAAATGTAATACCATAGAAAATCGAAGATAAAATCTAGGCAAGACATATTACGAACTGTTATAAAATAAGAATAAATTTAGTTTTTTTTTAATCGAAAACTGAAAAATATGTGACAAAATGCTGAGAATAATTATAGTTGTGATGAAATTTTCATAGAGTTTATGTATGGGGTCAGAATAATTTTTGTAAATGTTAAATAAATAAAATAGGTGTTGATAATCAAAATCAAATATTTTTGTAAAATACAAAATGTATTGTTCAAACTAATTTTATGAGTTTAAATTGACTAAAATTATAAGTGAAATTGAATTCAACTGAAATATATGTATATACAAGGTAATCAATTATATTTATTATGGAAACCATAGAGAACAATACAAAACTGATTACTGGCAATACTTTTACTACCTTTACTACTATGAGATTTGAATTGACGATTGCGTCTCTGCGCTAATGTCGTATGACAATTTCAACTGATGTACATACCTACGTACGTACGAAGTTCTACGGTGTAACTGACTGGATACAAAACTACTTAAATCACAATCGATGAAACTATGAAGAAGAAAGTATTTTTATAGTCAAAAGAGGCATTAGATTAGAAGTGGGGCAAAGTGTAGCATGAGCGATCACTGTAAACCATGAGTATAAGTAATTTGAAAGGAGATAATTTGCAATTTATTTACAGAAACATGATGCTTCATATCGTAAAAATAGAGTTGTAATATAGAGCTTGAAAATAAACTCAATCAGGTGTCTGAAAATGACATTTTCTTCGATATAACACATAAGAATAGTTTTTTTTAAAAATGAGCTACTGAGTATGATCAAATTTCAGTACTTCAGAGTGAATGTTTTAATAAATGTTAATTTTTTAACCGCTCCATTTTCTTTCGATATTCAGTCAGTTAATGATTATTCAAAAATGGAACTAATAGGTTAGTAAGCTAAAAACAACCTACATGAACGTTAACTCATCACTGACAAAAGATAGGTTTCACATTCCAAATAACTGCATGTAAAATGTTCGTATTTCGTGGTCAACTTACATTTCATCTATACATTTCACGGACTCAAAAATCTAACGACGAAATTTAGAAAATGCAATTTTTACACACCGAATAGACAAATAACAGTAAAGAACTAATCCTTTAAGATCGTATTAGTTAAAGCAAACTTAATAATGCAATGTAAAAACAATTTGAATAAAAATCATAAATCTCAGATTACAACTAAAACAAATCTAGTTTACTATAAAGTCATCGAATGTTTAATCCATTTTAATCGTAAACAACTATGAATGTCAATCAGCAATCAACTTGTAAAACAGCAGGCACATGAACTTTATGAAAAAGAATAGTATGACTTGTAAACAAAAACAAATTATTAATGGTAAATTATATGCGTCAATTTGGATTAAATTCGAATTTCTCACTAACACAACATAATTAAAGCTAATAATGTTAATTAATTAATGACTTGGTGATTTTTATTCATAAAATGGCTAATAAGTGACGTTAAATTTCGGAGTCGACATAGAGTAGATTAACGAAAATGCTTATTTTGAGACACCGAAACAGATTCCTAGCACCCTGGTACTTTTAAAAGTTCTTATTGCGACGAATTCCCAAATGCGTGAGTAACTGTGGCCTAGAGCTCGTAGCACTTAACTTAGCAAACCATAAATCAAAAATATCAACAGTGATTTGACAGACCTGAAAGATTACTATAGTGGTGTATACTACTGACGTGTCTGCTAAGTAGTACGCAACGAAGTGTTGTCCAGAAGTTACTGCTGAGGAGAATAATGTCAAATCCAGATGTGAAAGAAGACAGTCACTAATATGCTTCTTTTGCAAATAGAAGTGTGACGATAAGATGTGAACACATTTTGTTTGTTCGTCTTCGTTCACTAAGCTGGCGCTCAAACAAAAAGTGTGCCTCAATGCTATTAAAATAAACGCGTACTTGCTTCTATAAATTCATTCCATCGTATTGAGTATATTTATTAAAAAGAGACCAGGAATTTGACACAATTGTTCAATCCACTAGTCTAACCATTATTGAGATCTGTTAAATATAGTATTCACAATATTTCATTTCAACTCTTTAACATCAGATAGCAGAACAAGTACTACACACAGATTCCAAACTATTATTCAATTTCAGATATGTGCGTGTATATGGTGAAGTGAAATTCTCCAAGGGATGGTTAAAGAAGAAACAATAAACTGGTAAGTTTAAAATAACATGCATTGAATAAATTTCGATAAAATGTTAACTGACCAAAATAAACATGTTCATGTCACAAACCGAATTCAATATACACACACATACACACACATACCAATCAAACTAATAAATCACTTTATAACATAAATAAAAACTTAGGCATACATAAATATTTTTGATGTTTTATTGAAAATTTTCTTATTCAGAACAAACAATAAAATGGAAATTAATAATTTAATACAGATATTTCATAAATTCATTCATATGTTTTAAATAGTTATTACAAGAAATCACTTTTTCGAGGTTCGCTCTGAGGTAAAACAGAAAACAGGCGTTGGTTAGATAGATAAACAAACCACAGAACTTTCTATCATGTTGCAGAGATTGAACTTTATTTTATTTTTTTATTATGGCTTCGGCTGGAGTAATCTGGTAATATTGCTAGGCCTCACACGAAACATGTAGTTCAATTCAAAGTGTGTAAACGAGTACTTGATTATTAAAAAAATGTTTACATTTGGGTAAATTCAAAAATGTCAAAGCTGAAAAGAAATGTTATGAATTTATGGATTTTTCCTTCATATCTAATGACAAATTTCAAGGGTATAACCATTAAAATTCAAAAAATAGTGATTAGTAGGTTCCGTCGTAAACTGATATTACCTAGAAAAGTAGTGTATTGAAATCACCGGAGGGCTATCTCTCTATTTGATTCGTTTCAAGAGTGAGTATCCACGATTGAGTTTGGGTCGAAAAATTGAGAAAATTTAGTAACCCCATAAGCTTGTGTTACATTTCTGTGATCCGATTTCTATTGAAAAGGATTTAACTGATGATACGATTTCAGTTCCGTCGACTTATCCGCCTTCCTTGAAACCTTGCGTTCCCTCTGATCATTCACTAGTCTCACAACATTCGGACAACACTACAAAAGCAAAAGTTGATATAATTTTTTCGAATATTTAGTTTATAGTTATATCCATGTATTCATACTAGAAATACAGTCGAATCCAAAATCGTAGCCCATTGATAAAACTAAGTTACTCTGCATAACAGCCAATGTAATTAATATAATCACACATATTTTTGAACAAACAACTTAAATTAATGAATTTAAGTTGTTATATTCTTAACAAATTGAAGGATTTAGTAAGGATTGAAGTAGCTTTCTTGAAATACTGCACAAAGTAGATAGTAACTGATCATTGTACGCCTAATAGCTATGGAGTTTTGTTTTCTGAATTAGGTGGTTTCATTGAGGAGCTCTGAATGTTTTTCTGAACACAATCATCAGCAAAAACTCTAGGTAGAAGCGAAGTATTCGAATTTTCCACTCGAAGCTTATCCCGTTGACTTCAACCCTGATTGGATGTTATTGACCTTTAACCTGAATCTTTATTCTGACTATGTCCCTCCTTGATTTGGATCTAGATCCTATGCCTAATGTACTGGTGGTTTGTTCAAACTTCAGTCCCCTATTATTTTAGCATTGATTTATTGCCAGATTTTTCTGTTTTATATTTGTTCTAGCTGACTAATTAGGTATAATAACTGTACGTACTTATGTACTATCATGAAATATTTTAAAGTTATTGACAGTTCAAATACTAACAAATCCAAGAGTAGCCGCCAAAGTAGTTTGAAGATTTTACTGATTTGTCCTTTAGTTAATTTTAAGAAGGTATGGATAATCACGTTGAGGATATTTTGATTCAAATTGATCATTCCTGGTTGATATATGAGCATTCTGTGAGGATCACCTCCATATTGCTTTTAGGCTACAAGCATTATTGGCAGAGATGGATAATGGCTAGTAGTAGAATCCAGGGCGCACATTTCGTTCAATTCAGAACCCGACAGTTGGATGCATCTGCATCCCAGAGATGATGTTCACCCCAGGACTCGAACCCAGTGCCTTCCATCTCAAACGCCCATGCGTAATCCACTTAGCTACCACGTTCAGGCAACTATTCACTTGTGCGACGAGTATGAGATTTAATTCATTTTGAAGTGGTTTGCATTTTATCTTGTTGTTGATGTTTGGCTTAAATTTGAGAAATTCCAGGCAACTGTAATCTAGTTCATACACCCAATAATATTATGCAAAAAAAGGGGGAGAGATCATAAAAGCAAAAATGCCTGTAAAAATTTATGGATGAATAGTTATAGCAGCCAATCACGAGTTAGAAACTTTATTACAAACTCTTCTTTTTAATTAAATGCATAAAATACCGGAAATTGTTATAATATTGTTGTCATCAAACACATGATATTTAATCAAATTATTATTATTACTACTATTTACATTCAGTGAACTAATGCTAAACTACCCGAAACTTAGACTACAACGCAGATTGAATGTGCTGTATAATGTTCTAGAATAAAAATACTAATTTGATGGTTAAATAAAGAATTTCTTCTATCACATTAAGAATCAATCGTTAAAATTAGTTTATACCTCATTTTAAACAGTATAAATCAGTAAATCACTAAACACAGTGTAACTTAACTCTAGATAAAAATATGACACTTAGAAAATTAGTTCAATTGAAGTCATCTAAATTCAGTTAAATTCGTTAATCAGCGGTGTGTAAACAATTTCAGTATACATTAGCTATGCTCGACTATCCATAACACAATGTGACTTTGAATAGATCAATAATTCTAACAAAGTATAAGTAAAAAGTGCATACAGTGGTATAAAATACAGTGGTAAAAAATAATGTCCACTGTAATTGTTCAATAATTGGTGATGTTCACATCGATATATGACTAAAGCTGAGAAAAAATTACTTAAATGTAAAGAGTGATTTTTACTTTACTCATAGAATTATCATAAATCAAACCTTATTTGGATATCACAAGTGTGAAGTTGGAAATACGCCGTAAAAATCATTATCAATCGATGATGATGATGATGATGATGAATAGCATTTTCAAATAAATGTTGATAAAAAGTTAGTTAATTTTAAACAAAAGACATAAATTTAAAATTGAACAATATTTCAACATGAATTATAAAAATCATGATTATCACAATGAATTTTTTTTTCAAATAAATCGTAATCATATTTCATATTTTATCGCCTATTGAATAGCATTTCTTACTACTTAATTAATTAATTAATTAATCAGTAATATTTTTTTTTCTGTGAAACAAAAATTCTTTCAGAAAACTCCAAAAAAAACAAACAAACAATGATTAATCAAAATCTTTGTATTGAAATAAAAAACAATAATTTGTGAAACGCGAAAATAAAGGGGAATTGAAATTAATTATTATTGTCTGAAATAAGAAAAAGAAATACAGTTTGATTGTCACTTAATCTGAACAAGAGCAAAAAATAAGCTAATAATTCAATGTATCGAATTTCCAAAGAAAAATGTTCACGAATAATAACAATAAGCTATTTAGTAGACACTATGAAATGATATGTAGTTGAGAGCAAAGTTTTTCTAGAAAGGCACATAACTCAGAGGTAAGTATTGATAATGTTATTTATTGTAAACGATTTATTCACATAATTTTTAGAAAATTAGTACTTAAAATTACATTCTTTGAAAGATTTAAGTTCTATAAATATTTCCCGTATATACAACGATTCTTTTCCCTGTTATTGAAAAAGAATGTAGGTTATAGGTTGCATCATCAAAGCAAAACGGCAGTGTGTCAAAGATATTTTTGGTGATATTTTGATTTTAAGAAATAACAAAAGCTTGATCAACAAAAAGTGTCAGAAGTGAAAATGCAACTTACGTAATTATCTTTCAAATCTGGATGATCTGTTTCTAAACCATCGTCTAGAATAGTGACCACAACACTTTGACCTGCATAACCACGTGCCCAAACAGACTGAACATTCATGTCTAGACCACCAGGACCTCCACGATTCTATTTCGAAAAATAGAATAAAAAAGAATGTGTACGATAAAGAACAAATGAAACTCGAATTAAAATTTATTATAAACGCTCTGAAACTAAAGTGAGCTTACCGAATGTGTTACTTATTTGATTATTCAACCAGAATTTGAAATAACTTGAAAATACCTTTGTACAACCAGTATAATATATACAAGTACAGTTTTATTTCGGACCAGAATAAATATACACACACACTGTGAAGACTAACCTGATTGAATTATTACAACTTAAATGATTTTTCAAGGCAATTCGCTAAGCTAAGCATGAGGTGAACATGTACAGTAAATCAAGCCACCACTGTATGATGCAATATATTGCGTAAACAAAACAGTGATAAGAAAAACAACTTCTAATCCCGAAAATTTGTTATTATCAGGAGATAAAGATAACCGAAAAAGATAATCTCAATATAAAACAATGATTCTTAAATATTTTCCAATTATTTTCGCTAATCACTTCAAGAGCTTATTTTGTTGACAGACCAATTCTTATGCAGTTATGGAGAAATATTTTCTAAACTTTTAAAGACTCAGTTAACATTGATCACTACTGGTGAGTGAACAAAATTAGAGCTAATTAAATATCTAATTCAGTTGTCTATGGTAAATGTATAGTATGCTGAGTGACTTGAATTAAGATAACTCTTCATGTATTTTATGAGAAATTTAAAGTGTAGTGATAGATAACCTGTATGGTATTCTTAACAAAGTGAAAATTGTTAATGACTGATTCTTAAAATGCATGGAATCAATAGAAATACTTATTATACAATCAGAAAGTGAATTTATGGTCATACGTCAACTAAATTACCAAACATAACTGTTCCTAAAACAGATAGTGTGTTAAAAATGCTTAATGTGATTCCATGTGTAGTCAAGACTGTTAGGCGAAGCTGGTTATTACTCTATCTATCTAACTCTCGCTTCAAATCTATGTTTTTACACAGAAAGTTGGTAAAACACTGAACTATAGCTGATGTCAGCCAGTGTGAAAAACCTTAACCTTAATTTGTAGACTCAAGACTTCAGCCTAACTCTGAATATTTAATCCTAATCTTTTAACATTATAACTTACATCATTTGGTGACGAGAACTCTGTGGGGTGATAGCTCCAATAGGGAGTTTTAACCCAACTCCTAATATGTGTAAACTTGACCTTTTACCTTTATTACAGTGGATGATTTGAAATGTGAGGGCTAATCAAATCTATTATTCCACTGTTATTTTAATGTTTTATTCGTTATAAATAGGCATAGTTTCTTGACTAGCTAGCAGAGAGGTCAAGGTCGTCAGTATAGTATACTTTTACCTTGTCTACTTCTCTTACGATAAAAACTAGCCCCAGAATTTCCTGCAGAAGTATACTCGTCAAGAGAAAATTGAACAGAACTGTTACCAACTGGAGTATTTAATTAACAATAACTTAACAAAATGACGAAACGATACATGTAGGGCAATGTTAATTTTAAAAAATTCTGTGTCTACCATTTAAGGATTACCTACTTCACTTATGACTGAAGTCAAACTAACTCCAGAAAAGTCGAATAATCTAATTATGCTTCCTGTTGTGATGAGCACATAATCCAATAAGATTAAAATTTGAACACAATGCTGGAAATATGATTCACTTTTCAATTGTTGTGTAATAACACAAAAATGAGAGATTTACAAAAACTATTGAAGAGACTAGACTAATTCGGGGCAAACACTAAAAATAACCAGTTTATGTGAATAATTAACGCTTTACTGTAATCCACAATATCGATGTCTGAAAAGTCATAACAATGTGTACATTTATTTCACATCATACGTATCTTTAGGGAAAAAACAACACACTAAACGATATGTAATTGATAATTACCAGCATGTATAGCCACATTCAAGTACATACATCTAAAACTATACATGATATTAGATAAAAGTGATTGATAAATTTGTATATTTGAAAAAACAATAAAATTAGTGACATTTTGAGTACATAAAATAACATTTAAAGCTTATTACAACGTCTAATGAACAGATTTATTAGATCAAGTGAATCTCATGAACATAATAATGAATTTTTTTTAGAGGATAGTCTTATCCATTTGACGTTAAACATACAAAGATTTTCCAAACCAAACAAATTACCTATGTTGAATGAACAATCATGTCTGTCCTATATCTAGCGCAAAGAAATAAAAATAATGATCCGAAATATGCCAAACATATCACAGTATTTTAGTCATTACATAGTTAAGAAAAAAATGAGCTTTCTTTACTTAGACTAAAATTTTACACTCACTTTTTAGCACTACTTATTCGATCTAATCGATATAGAACAACTATTCGACCTGAAATAATATTACCTTGCTCTAATAGTATCTGAAATAGTAACACACTATGAAGACACATACTGTCAAAGTTAATTATGTTTATCGTTGGAAAACAAAACGCATAGTGCTTTTGATAAGTGAATGAATTATAAATAGTTTCACACCTTCCTAATTCAAACTCAACATATAGTATCCTCAGTATGAATATCAAGAAGATTGGATGCCTACATTTGGTTATCTGAACCAAAAGGGTTGATATATTTATTAAACAAGTATATCTTTTAATAATATGTAACTATTTCTAAGTACGTAGCATAACCTATCAATTCCAATGTATTTGCTAAAAATAAATGCAGAAGACAGAAAACACCAACAGAACTTTGAAACACACTTAAAGTACACAACTAATAGTAAATATTAACGCTACAGATTGAACTCGATAAACTGACAGACGAATTCGACTAGGAAAACTGTCCTAGAATGAAGATGTTGTCAGTGTACAAAGTTCTAATAAAAATATGCTTCAAATAAACCGGAGAAACCAACCGAATATATATTTATGTATTTATACAAAGCTATACTCTTTAGCGCAATTAAACCACTTGATTTGAAGTTAGAACCCCAATTTATTTATGATAGTTTATGTAGATATGTTATATCATTAGTCATCACATAGGAACTGTTACTCAAGATTCAAGTTAATATACAAGTAATCTAGTCAATCAGTTGTTAGTTATACTACAAACATAGATATCTAGTGAAAATCACATCATATTCTCAAAAATCTACAAAATAAAATTAGAAGATCTAAATAAAAATGATAATTATAGTGTGAAAAAAACGCATAACAAAATTATTTCATTAATCAAATGCTTCATTAATTATTATTATTATTATTATTATTATTATTATTATTACAACACATGAGATATTTATTTAGTTAATATATAATTCTAATCATTTTTCAGTTACATTGCTTATATCTTTGTAAGTGAAACTCTACACAATTGAGAATTCCCATGACATTAGATAATAAAATATAAAGAGTAACAAAATAAATAGTGAAGGAAAATAAATCGCTTCAATCCACTCCTCTTATACTTTACTTCACACTATATAAATTCATTATAACCGACTTTAAATTAAACTTAATCGATCGTTAAAAGGAGGAATCTAGTTTGACGACAGTGTGAGGAAACAAAAATAAATATTCATAAATCTGATATAAATTTGAAAGCATTTTAATCTCGATATATATATATATATATATATATATATATATGCATATCACAACACTATATGTCATCACGTATTTTCATCCACTTCTAAACCTACAAATAACAAAACACTGACTGAAGGCAATGTGAAAATGAAACAGAAGATAGAAAAGAAAAGCAAGCAACTACAGAGAACAAACAACGTTACAAAGCAGTTACAGTTTACCAAATAGATTAATCAGTTGGTTCCGTAACAAATTCAAAGGATGACAATTGAATATACCGAAAGGAACAGTGAAGAATAAGTCTACAATCTATATAACTCAGGCGACAGATAAGAGATGATCTACGTACAGTATGAAGTTTTTGAAAGAAGAATAGTTTTTCCTCAAAGCAAATATTCCATGATTATAAAAGTAGTATAAAAAGAGATCTACCACAAATAGTTTAGGAAAGAAACAATTTTAGTACATGTATGTGAAAATAGAAATATGACAAAATAAAGAGTAAGGAAGGTGTTCTTCTGAAGTAGTTTTTAGATACTCACATAGTATAAGAATAGGCCTAAAATTATACTACTTTGATGACTGGAAACAAGCGATCCATTTATTTCTTCTGAAATAACCATCACATTCTCAAGGAATAATTTCGAGAACAATTGTGATTTATATAATCTATTAATGACAAGCGGCCTATATTGTATCAAAAGTTCCCTGAAGAATAGTGGATATCGGTAATCAATAAAATAGTTCAAAGATTACAGCAATAGTTACAAAACTTTATAGGATTTATTCCATAAGAAATGAAAAAGTAACTCATAGTTTAAGATAAATATTTGTAGCTTGCTTGTGTAAATGTAAAGAAATCAGGCGAACTCTTGAATAATTAATATTTAACTTTCTAATAATAATGCTAATAATAGCTTTATTCAATACTATACGCTTATTACAATGTAATATTCTCAGCACAGTGTGTATTACAGAGATACACTGCTGTAGATAGGTACACAGAATAATAAACAAACTAACCAAGTCAAGTGCAAATTAAACAGAAAGATAATAAACAAGAAATAAAGAATATTTTTAAATAAATTCTTAAAATCAAAATCGTCTTAATTTACATTTTGGAGTAATTTCTGTTCAGTTTCATTGACAACAAATAAGACCACATGTAGCTGAATCAAATTTAGATAAATACTAAAGACATAATTAAATAGTGAAGCATTCTTCTGAATAAATCATGATACCACTGTGTTGTAAAGAGACAAGTCAAAATAAACTTGATAATAAATTTGAAATGATAAGAATTTTCTTTTCATGTAGAAAATTATTCAAAAGCTGGCTGCTTTGTGACGCCACGTAATTTGATCAAATTTTGTGTTTAGAATGTTCGAAAAATATTCGGTTTGGTACATAAGATTTGTGTTTGATGAAAAAAGT